CGATAGGAGCGGATATCGAGGCCCGGATCTATAGCAACATCCTATAGGAAGCACTACGGACTTATATGGAGCTTCCTTAGTAGAGGAAGACGCGGTTCCCCTGCGCCCTCCTCGTCCGGCGAGGAGGGATAGACCGGCCAGGGGGCGCGCGCAGCGAGTGTTCTAAGATAAGGCCCTTTAACGCTTATAGGATAGGATAGCGGCTCTAGACCGTACCTACGAAGGCGTGCGCCGCGCCTTAAGTCCGGCGCTCGACGCTTAGATCTAAAGCTAAAGCTAAAGGTATAGGTAGCCGACTACTATATCGACCTACGGGGGCATCTACGCTAACGGGGGAGACTATAGGTACCGGGCGCACCGTATACTATAGAAGCTAAGGAGAAGGAGGGACCGCCGGAGCTAGACGAACGGAACGAGCTCTAAGGGAGGCTAGTCTAACTTATCTATAACTCTAGCGTTATAGGTTACCTAGGCAAATAGGGCATAGTAGTAGGCCTTATAAGGGACTTTTACTAGCCCCTCTTATAGTACTACGTTCGTCGCTTCTCTATAACTATAATATCTATAGCTATATAAAGATCTGAGGCGTAGCTTAAGGGCTGCTTAAGTAGCTTCTAGTGCCCGACTAGTTCTATATATATATATGATAGACTTTATAACGGACCTCCCTACTTATAAGGCGGCAACCGCTATTTATAGGTAATGGACCGACTTAGTAAGTCTATAGTATTAGAGCTAATACTCTATAGATATAGAGTCCTATATAGACCTTCCTATAGTACTAGGCCCGCTATATAGCTAGCTAGCTTTTATTATAAGCGATAAAGGATCGAATTAGACTAGCCGCTTTTAGTAGTACTTATACTAGCTACTTTAGATTACGTAGCTACTAGCACGGCATATTACTATAGACCGACGGAGGCCTAAGAGGTTAACTAAGGCGTAGGCTTACCTATGGCTATCGTGGCCGTAACTAAGTAGACTAAGACCGGTAGCTCCCGCGCCTAACTTACGTTAAATAGTAAACTACCTTTATTAAGATAGCCCTTTCTTTATAACGTATAGCTTCGAACTACCTTATTAGTTCCCTTTACCGTAGACGTAGTAGCGGGTAGTATAGTAATTTATTACCGGAGGCTTCTACGTTTATACGAAAGCTATAAGAGACTATAGATTATTACTAATCTACGATAGCCGCCGCGGCGTAAGATTAAGAGCGGCACGCTAATAAGACTAGGGCCCTAGTAGATAGGTTTACGGCAGGAGATAAGGTATAGCTAGACCTCTATAACTATAGGTCGGCACGACTAAAAAAGAAGCTTAACTAGCTATATATAAAGTTTACGGTATAGAGGGTTATTAGCCCGTAGGTTATAAAGCTTAATAGTCTCCTAATAGGGGTCTATAATAAGATTAACGTAGACCTCCTTTATAGAGCCTCCTTTAACCTACTACCTAGATAAGAAGTAGCGGACGCTTAACCGCCCGTAATTAAGGTAGAGGGAGAGGACGAGTTCGAGGTTAAAGAGATATAGGCCGCGCTAGAGAAAGGTCGGTAGAAAACGCTAGGAGGTCCTTATTAAGTAGCGCGGGTATCTCGACCTTATATAGGAACCTATATATGTTTACGGGAACTATAGCCCCGATAAGTTTAAACCTTATTTAAAACGGTAGATAAGAACGATAGACTAGCGGACTACCGATAGTAGCCTGAGGAACTACGAAGTAGGTAAAGTAGAGTAGGTAGTTACGATAACGCGAGCGTAATTATATAAGCGGAGATAAAAATAGCGTTTATTTTAGGGCGAAGCCCTTAGACTACCTAGACCTACTCCTCGTCCTTATCGTCGTCCTTATCCTTATCCTCGTCGTCCTCCTCTACCTTATTAGCGGCGGCGGCGCTCTCTAAGGCGCTTAGGCGGCCCTCTAGGCCCGCGAGCTAGTTAGCGGCAGCGGCGGCTCTAGGGGCTCCGGGGGCGAGGGGGGCCCGGCTAGTAGCAGCGGCGGGGGCGGCGGCGGGCACGGCTAAGGGGACCGCCGATAAGGCGACGGAGGTAGTATCCCTAGTACCGGGAGAGTTAGCAGCGGAAGTAAAAGAGCTAGATAAAAGGAACTTACTTAAGGACGAGGCCCTAGCGCTCGAGGGCGCGGAGATTACGGTAGGCTGCGTTTATACTTTAAGAAGTTAGCGGAAAATAGCTACTACGCTCGCTAGGTAGCGGACTTACGGGGGTAGTAGTAGCGGAGGCGGGGGTAGAGGGGCTAGGCGTTACGGCCGGCGGCGGGGACGGCGTCGTTACCTAGAAGGGCAACGTGGGGCGGCTAGTATAGTAGAGGTAGAGGCGGCGGTAGTAGGTATAGTTATAAAGGCGCGGGTAGGGTAGCGGTAGCGGCGGAGCCGTTATTAGCTATACTTAGTATAGCGTCGATAAACGACTCTATACGCTTTAAGAAAGAAGTAAAGGAGGGAAGGTAGATAGAACCTTATCCTTCTCGCTAGCCGTCGCGCTTTTAATCGCTTAGGATAGCTACGATACTTCCTATCCGTTTAAGGAGGGTAGAGTACTTCCTTAAAGGGAGGCGCCCTCTTTAGAGAGATATCTATTAGATCTATTAGTTAATAGCTTATACTATTATAAAGTAGGCAAAGGCATAGGCATAGGTACCGTTTATAGGATAATATTAATAAGCTATATAGAGCTCTCCTATACGCGGCTAGCCTATATATATACGTATAGGATCCGGCCCTTTATATATAACTATATAGCTTAGGCTATAGCCTAAGCATAACCTATAATAGTTAAAGACTCTTATAATATCTACTTAATAAAGCACCTCTTTAAACTATATAAGGTAAGCTAGAATAGCTTTACTCCGCTTTTAATAAAGCATTATAAGCTCTTAGCCTACTAACTTAGCTATATTAGGTTTACTATAATTAGTATAAAGCTCTATAAGGAGGTTAACTAGTCTATTTATATTAGTATACGTAAATAGTAAGAGATGCCTTTATAGGTATGGGATAGGCTCGCGTAAAAATAGTTAAATTAAGCGCGGATATCCCTTATTATAGCGCTATTAGTATAGAGCTTCGCATATGTAGCTATAGCTCGAGCTCTATAAAGGAGCTATTGAACTTACTAAGGTATAGTAGTACCGCTCTTAGTCGTACGGAGCCCTACTATTATAAGAGGCTCTTAATTGCCTAGGTAAACTAAGTATTACGTTCGCTTTAATTTTACTACTATAGAAGTATAGATATTTCGTATATATATACCGGCGTAGGCGGTTTAACTAGACTAGGTAATTAAACGTTAGCTTTAAAGGCAGCTAAAAATAGCTATTCTATATATGGGATATAGAGAGGGTAAAATAAAGGGTAGATTATACTATTATAGGTAGGTAGAGGCATAGGCTTAGGTATAGTCTATTAAAGAAGGTTAATAATCTATAAGGGAAAGGAAGAGAAGTATAGGCCTAGCTTTATATAGGCGGAGGCCGCTTATATATAGACTTAGCCTAGACTCGTTTAGGCCTATATAAAGCAAAAGCCCTTATAAGTATAACGCTTATATACTTCGTCTTATACTTATAAAACTATTATTAGTAGACCTACTATTATATAGGCTTAAACTATAGCTTTTTTTAGTATAAAATTAAGTATAACTTTATATATAATAACTAAGGTATCCTAAGGATTAAGGAAACTCTAGTTAAAGGATTATATAAGCTATAATAAGCATAATAGCTATTAACCTCTATAGCTAACTATATAATACCCTTAATCTTTATACCTTTTATTATACTTAAGGCGTCCTTTACTTACCTTATAGTAATCTATTTTACTAGTACTTATATCTCTTATATAAGCGCCTTATTAACTATAGTATAGTACTAATAGCCCTTATCTATAAAGGCGGCGATAGGTAAGGAGTTATTAATTATAACCTATATTAAAGTAAGCTTCTTTTCTATATAAGTAGAAATTTTTTTCTCTTTACTAATATTAGTAATTAGGGCTTTAAAGCTTATCTTTACTCAAAGCTACTCTTTTCCTTTAGGCTAAAGAGCGGAGTCCTCTTTATTATCTAAGGTAAAGAGCGGTTTTATTTTTATTACTTAAACTATAATAGGCCGCTTAGCTAAAAGAAGGGGTACTTTAATATAAAGTATATAGACGAGCTATAATATAGGTAGCGGCTATTAGCCTTCTTTTTTCCGATCTCCTTACTCGTTACTTACTTCGCTTACTACTTAAAGTGGATAGTATAAAGGTAGTCGATAGCGTCTTTCTACTATATTTAGCCTAGTCTATATAGGTAGTTAATATTAAGGTATCCTTATTAGTATCGATAGCTAGCTATTTCTCTTATAGAGGGCGGTAATATAAGCACTGGTTTATTTAAAGCCGTTTAGAGCGTAGAAGACGCTCTGGATAAAGGACTAAGTTCTGATACGGAAACTTCGGGGTGCAAGAGTTCCAATCCCTGATCTGCTGTCCCTACATGTCGCATTGTAGCTCTTCGGGGTTAGTAGGAACATCAATTCCGATTGTGAAGCACTAGCTCTCTTTTTCAGCTTAGACTTGTGGCGCCTGTTTTCGGATACAATTCCGCTTCCGTGAGTCTGTGCCGCAGCAGAATTGCTTGTGCTGGCTCCATCCCTGTCATTTCTATTCACCAGCCGTTTCGAGGCCTGCTGAGCATTGTAGTTGATGAGCCAAGCGGGCAAAGACATGGAATTGAGCGCGTGTCCGCGGCTCCCGGACCCGACCTCGCCCGCCTCTGGCGTCGGATGAGCCGCAATACAGAGTTCCCTCCAGTGCACCCACCATTCACAAAGAGTATATCATACGGGTGGGTGCTTCTACTAGCAAGAACTCTTCCTGGACTTCTACAAGTACTGATCCGCGATTGTTCTTTGGCAGAGTCTCTTGCCGCCAATATATCGTGAATTTGACGCTTTTTTGGATAGGACTGCCATTCATCCTGCTTTCCGTCATGGTCACCTCCTTCCCACCCCTTTCCGGCCTCTCGATCCACGAAACAAATCGGGCTCGAGACCTGGTGCTCAAGCTGCACCCTGGGACCGTTATCGATTTCCGCGCCACTTTCTTGCTTGAGCCGCCTAAAGCTGAAGTAAAAGAATTTCTAGAGCTGGAGCATGCCGACAGAATCACATCAGATACCCCACGTCCAGCACGGCTGGCGCAGGTCCGATACGACGTCATTGGCGGATCTAAGGCGGCAGAATATCACGAGTCCGTCATTGACCTCCTAAAAGCCAAACGCATCAGCCACCAAATCATTGGACCTGAGCATCACGCAGGATTGACCGTGTACGTGCGTAGCGCTCAGTGTCAAGAGAGAGATCGGATGCTTACCATTCGCGCGGCACAGATTCGAGTTTGAGAAGCTGGTAGAATGTGTGAAAACTTCTTCCCTCTTCCAAGAGAAGCTCAAGGCTATCCAGCTGCCTCCCGGCTTCGAGCTCGTCGTTGAGCCATGGCCTTACGGTGCGCCCGACGACGCCGATGGCGAGACTCGCTTCTTCCAGGGCCTTTGCTTTGGGAGGCACGCAGCCAGCGGCAACCCGGACTCTAACTTTTACGCATTTCCCATTCCCTTGATACCCATCATGGACGCGAGGAAGAATGAGATAGTGCGCATTGACGAGCCAGCCACGGGCGGCAAAGATGATGCATTGAGCGGGCGGACTCACGAGCCAGCCATCCTCGATCACTGCCGTTCGGCCGAATATGTTCCAGAGCTGCTGCCGTCAGGCATGAGGAAGGACCTCAAGCCGCTAACGGTGCAGCAGCCGGAAGGGCCAAGCTTCACCATCTCGGACCCCAATCTCATCGAGTGGCAGAAGTGGCGCATGAGGGTCACATTCAACCCACGCGAAGGTGCAGTCTTGCACGACATTCGCTACGACGGCCGCAATGTGCTCTATCGACTGAGCATCAGCGACATGGTAAGCGCCTGTCCTCGTTGAGGCGGCGAGCTGCGACTGACGGAGGCCTTGTTGTGCAGACGGTGCCATACGCCGACCCAAGGGCCCCTTTCCATCGTAAGCAGGCTTTTGACTTCGGTGACGGCGGCCTCGGGCACGCAGTGAACAATCCCCTCGGGTGTGACTGCTTGGGCGTCATAAAGGTGATTGGGCCATTGGATAGCTTTGAAGAGAGGCGGTAACCGAAACGAGACGCTAACACAACCATGACAGTACTTTGACGGCGTCTTGACGAAAGCAGACGGCTCGGCCGAAGTCACCAAAAATGTCGTTTGCCTACACGAGCAGGACAATGGCATCAACTGGAAGCACACCAACTGGCGGACCGGGCGAGCCGTGGTGACGCGTCGCCGCGAGCTCGTCGTACAGTTCATCATCACGCTCGCCAACTACGAGTACATTTTTGCTTTCAAGTTTGACCAGGCAGCCGGAATCGCAGTCGAGGCCCGGGCAACGGAATCGTCTCCGTCGTCAACATCGACGCCGGCAAGACTGCTCCTGGGGCAATGTGGTCAGCCCCGGAGCCCTGGCGCAGAACCACCAGCACATCTTTTGCGTTCGAATCGATCCCGCCATCGACGGACATCGAAACACGCTGGTGCAGGAGGAGAGCTTGCCCAATGGCATGGACAAGCGCACCAACCCCAACGGAAACTACGAGGTCCGCCAGACGCCCATCACGACATCTGTGGAGTCGACCTCGCACACTTTAACAATCGCGTCTTCAAAGTCCAGAACCTGTCAAAGCGGAACCCCGTCAGTGGCAAGCCGGTTGGCTACAGGTTACTACGCCGCCAACTCAGCTGTTGCTGGCGGATCCCAATAGTGTCCAGGCCCAGCGCGCACTCTTCGCCCAGCATCACATATGGGTGACTAAGTACAAGGACGACGAGTTGTATGCCGGAGGTCGATACACTCTTCAAAGCAGTCGCGAAATCGGCGGCGTGGCCGATGCCGCGGCACGGAAGGAAGACATTTTGGACGAGGATATCGTGGTCTGGAGCGTCTTTGGCCTCACACATAACCCTCGAGTTGAGGACTGGCCGGTCATGTGAGCTTTGATTTATCCGCTAAGAAATCGCCCAAGCTAATATTATTGTTCGCGACATCCAGGCCTGTAGAGATGCTGCAGGTGGACATTACGCCGTCAGATTTCTTCACCGAGAACCCAGCACTCGACGTACCCTCAAGCGCCGACATTGGCTCTAAGAGGGTGCTTGACAGATGCTGCGCGGATAAAGGCTTGTCCAAGAAACCAGGCGAGAAGTCGCGACTGTAAAGGCTCCCGAACGCATACATGTAGCGATGTCATTGGCTAGGCTCAACAGCAGAATAGACAGACGAAGATGAACTCTCAAAAAGAAATCCCTTCTTCTCTCCGCTCTCATGAATCCTCTTCATCAAATAATAGTCCAGGTGTACTAAAACAAGAGATCATTGGGCCTTTGTTAGGCCCAGCAAGGGAGGTTTCTATGTACCTCGCTGCGTAGAAGACATTGCACCTGTTCTTCACTCAAGCTGTAGCGTTAGCGGTCTGGCTCACCCTACGGAAAGGAACAATGGCAGCGAGAGCCCTAAGCACCACACGTTTAGAATATGGTAGGACGCTTGTCCGATCGGAATGAGACGCGGGACAAGCGTTCAGGTTGCGCTCGCACACCGCATTATATTCTCTCAGAGCTTATGTACAATGCTGAACTTGACGCACTTGACTTGAGTCCATTCCTCCAGCGCCTCTTGGCCCAGGTCCCGACCGAACCCACTCTCCTTGAAGCCTCCAAAGGGGGGTATTCGAATTGATCGTTCCCCACATGTTCACAGTCACCTGGCCGCATTCGATGGCGTCGCTCACGCGCATTGCCTTGTTGATGTCATCTGTGAAGACCGCCGCAGACAGCCCGTAGTTTGTGTCGTTTGCCAGACCAACAACTTCTTCCTCAGTCTTGAACCTGGCAATGCTGGCCACTGGACCAAAGACCTCTTCGCGCATGATGGTAGCAACGGGAGGCACATCCACGAAAGCCGTGTTTGAAACAAAATGTCCTCCAGAAGGGATTGAATATGAGTCGGCGCCATGAAGTAGCTTATTTCCCTCCTGCAATGCCGTCTGGATGTAGCCCGTGACTCGCGATTTCTGGCCGGCGCTGACCAAGGGACCCTTGGTGGTGCTGTCCAGCAAGGGGGTCTCCAGCGACCGAGTCCTTGGTGCGGGCCGAGAATTCCGCGACGTATCGATCATAGATTTCGTCTTGCACGTAAATGCGGCTCCCAGCGGCGCATATTTGCCCGTTGTGGACCGTGATGCCCATCGTTGTATGAAGCAGCGCGTTTTCCCAGGATGCATCGGCAAACACAATGCTAGGACCTTTGCCCCCAAGCTCCACGGTGACTTTCTTCAAATTGGTTCGCGCCGAGCTTTCCAAAATCCTCCTGCCGACCGCGGTGCTTCCCGTAAAGGAGATTTTGCGCACCAACATGTGGTCTGCCAGGGCTTGGCCGGCCACTTGACCAAGACCGCAGACTATGTTGACGACGCCCGGGGGAAACCCCGCCTCTCTGATGAGCTGTGCGAGCTTCTGAGCATATAGGGGGGCGATTTCGGGGGTCTTGACGATGACTGTGTTGCCCGCTGCTATAGCCGGGGCCAGCTTCCACATTGTGATCATGCTTGCTCATGGGTAAATGACAAGCGTCAGCAAATCGGCATCAACGGCTGCCAAGGACTCGAAATAGTGGTGCCGTCTTACAGAGGAGCGTTCCAGGGCACAATGGCAGCGCAGACGCCAATGGGTTCCCGCCGTGTATATGCCATACCTCGGCAATACTCATGGATCGACCTTCGCTTGCCAACCCACCCGGCATAGTAGCGGCAGGTCTCGGCGGCTTGCGGTATACTCATGGTCAGTGACCCACGGTATAACATGCCGGCATCAAGTGCCTCGATCGACGCCAAGTCCTCGGCATCGCGCTCAAGGAGGTCGGCCAGCTTGTTGAGGAGCGATCGCGACTTGTCAGGCGTGACGAAGCGCCATGTGGACTTGAAGGCATCCGCAGAAGAGGACACCGCACGATCTACGTCCTCGACCTGGGCCGCGGCTACCTTTGCGAGAAACTTGCCGGTGGCTGGATTTTCCAAGTCTATCGTCTCGCCGCGCGTGGCGGGAAAAGCTGTTGTCGATGAAAAGGCCGGTGGGGACTAGAGGCAACTTTCATGAGTGCCTTGAAGAGGAGTCGGGACCGGGGGCGGCGAATTCGGTTCATCAATGATCTTACCAGTGACCTGGCGTCCGCCAGCGCCAACAAGAACTGCTTCTGCCATTTAGCTGCTTCGAGGCCTGTAGACGTACGGTCGAGTGAATATAGAAGGGCAGGATAAAGCTTTCCGGCAAACAAATGTCACCTTCAACGTTTGGGAGGAATTCAATGATATACGATGGCCACGAAAAGCGGGACTGAAGCGAACTTCCACTAAGCATGGATATATAAGGCAGGCTGACCTTCGAGTCAAGTTGACCTGTTGGCAAATTGATACCTCGGTTTACAGTCCGAGCAGAGCTCCGGCCTCGATGAGCAGAGCCGCCGCAGAAACGTGGATGGCGTCTGAAACCAGACCTGAAGCGATTCGATAGCGCAAACCATTAGCATTTGGAACTCGGGGAACCCAGGCGAGGCTTGCGGGTGGAGGTTCAAGGGTTTAATGCTGGGTTGCTGCCGTATTTGGACTGAAACGAAACGCAAAGGGCAGTTCCGAATTCCGCGATCCCTGGTGGTGATTTGCATCACGCTCTAGGCTGACGCAGGCTCGGGACGTATGTCACGTAAATAGCCAACGACGGAAATTCGGAACACTCCAGGTTTACGCATTGGCTGCGCTTTGCCGTGCCTTCTAGCGACCGCTTGGGTCCCGTTTCAGGGCAAGCGGCAGCAGCTGCACAGTTTGTAGACACAATTCGTCGACTCCGTCGTCGAATAAACAGAGAATCTGTAGTCTAGAGGCAGTATCCGGTGCTACATGGCCTTGCTCGTTCTGATTCCGAGATTCCGTTCACGACGTAAAAGGCCGTGGTGAGAGATTTATCCATAGACGTTCAACATACCTGATCGAAACGCCTCCAAAAACTCATCCACGATCCCCGCCAGCCGTGTTGCAATCGAATTATTCTTGGACTTGTTTCCACGGAAAGTAGCAGGAGCCAGGAAAGATGATTTCACCAATCCATCGAGTGACCCTCTTCAAAGTCCCCGGCAACGAGGATCAAGAACGCCTGCTGCAGATGTACAAGCAGATGCCGACCAAGGCCGTCAAGGTCAGTCTGGCCCGCGTGCCGGCCCAGTATAAGACTCACAATTTAGCGTGCCTACAATTGTTAACGCGGCTTCACCCAGGACGGGAAACCCTACCTGCTTTCAGTCACGGCGGGAAGGCAAAGCCTGATCAACGGGCGCAGGGCTTCACGTTGGCAGTGATTTCTGTCTTTCGCTCTGTAGACGACATGACCTACTACGACAATGAGTGTGCGGCCCGCAGAGCTGAAAGCTGTCGCAAAGTCGGTGCACCAGGGCGCCATGATGGTCTTCTTCGAAAATGAGCTCTCGGGCTAGTCAATCAAGTATATAGGAAACGTTTATAGACCAAATGCAGAGCTTTAGCTGGCACCGGCCTCTGCTCTGCACAGCCTTCATACACAGAGCCTTTACACAAGATATACTAGCTCTCCATTAACTTTGCGTTGCTTCAAGTCTATGACAAACTCATATCAATCCCTGAAGTCGTCGAGAATCTCCCTCCTTCCATTCAACAAATCCGTGTCATCGGGACCATAGAAGTGAGCACCAAACTCTCCTGGAAAGTGCTGGCCCTGTCCGAGGGCATCGAAAATGTCCAAAAGATCATTTCTCATTTGAAACATGTCCGGGACCGAGTTGCTCATCTCAGTCTCGGGTATTATGTCACTGGTGGTCTGCGCATCCCAAAGACTGCTGCCATTGTCCGTCCTCATCGGATCCTGCAGCGCCTCTCGGAATTCAGACACGCCTGGTGCCTCACCTCCCGACAGCGAAGGGCTACCCCTCGCAGGCCCCATATCGTTGCTGGTACACGAACCGTCTGAGCTCTGGAGACCAAGGCTCCTCAAGCGCGGCAGCAGGCCGCGGATGCTTTCCACAGCCTCCGGCTCACGACGCTGTGGCGCGAGAAGCCCCGGACGAGATCAACCGCGTCTAGAAAAGCCTTCCTACAGGGCTCTGTGAATATGTTGGGCGCATGACATACTGCGAGGAAAATCACCGCCATGGCGCTGACCAAAAAGTAGTTGAAGGCGTTTTGCTGCCGCGAGTAGATGTCCGTGGTTGCGTTCAAGTGTACCAGGATTTGCACGCTATCCAGCGCAATGTTGACCACCAGCCATGCGCTTCGTAGGTTCGCCGTGATGCTGGTTGTGTTGAAGAGATAATGCTGGTAGACGGAGATGCGCGTGTGATTTCCGCGCAGGTAGAGCAAGGCCCGGAGCCGGTGCAAGACGCGAGGCTGGGTCCGTGCCGCGAGTCCGAGGCGCGGGTGTCGGAGTCGGAGATGGGAGGAATGGACTCGAGCCAGTCTTGCGTGCTCAGGTCCAAGCATGAACTGTCTCCTCAGGGATAGACTGAGAGGCGGAACCCAGTGGCGGAATAGCGTCCCAGAGCTTGGAGCAGAGCCGACCGTAGCCTACCATGCACGAGGTAGCAGAAATCGGAATCCTAGTCATTGGGGGCCCGTTAGTGTAATCGCGTTGCAGATTCGAGGTAGTGCTCGGCTCACCGGTTCAGGGAGACCGGGATCTATATCGCGGTCTGAGAGCGCAAAGGATAGGCTCGTCCCAAAGCTCCATCGGCGATCCAGCACGTAGACGCACCAAAAGACGCGTGTAGCCAGGCGACGAGTGTCCGGGTCCTTGAAGTTGTCAAACAAGCTCTTTCGGCGATGCAGACCCATCTCTAGAGCCTCGCGGGCAGCAATGCCAATGGTGCGCCACGCAAGTAGCTCGTCGTCGCAGTGGAAGTAGTAAATGCTCTGCGTATGGAGGGTCAGTCGGGGTCATGTTGAGGTGACCAACTCGGCGAAGGGAAAGCATACCAGCATAGTCAGGAGCTGGATCTCTTGAGCTCGACCTGGGGACTCGAGATCCTTGATACATTCCGCTCTACGGTCTCGGCTATTGTGGCACTCAACTTGCTTTTGCCGTGCGCCTCAACGGCCAGGGCGGTGGCTATGGCAACCTTGGCCATTTCAACATCTCTGGCGCTCACGGGGAGCTGCATTTCCTCTCGTACTTCGCCGCTTGTCGACTTGCCGCTTCGGATAAAGTCGAGGATTTGCTGTGCCCGAGACGCGAGCTCGACAATGTCGATAAAAGGGTATACGGACTCGACCTCCTCGAAGACGGCAAGTAGCCTTGCCATCTCGCCCGGTGTGCAGTGATGCCAGAACTCGGCCTCGGACGTTATCTCCCGGAGGGGTTCGGCCGGAGACTGGGCGCCGCTCGGAGGGGGGGACTCGAAGGTCGGAATGCCCATGCGCGTCAAGGATCGTTCGCCCACCAGGAGGCCAAAGGACGGTCTGGTGGGCCCGACGAACTGTGGCTGCTTCGGCGCAGCTTCCTTCTGGGCAGTCGAGGGAGACTGGACAATGGTCGTGTCCGGCGACTGCAGCGCCATGGAGGCGGGACGCGGCGAATGGTCTTTGAGCTGCTTGACAGTGCCCACCAAGTCGGCAACCTGCTGGCGGAGTTGAGCCATTTCATCGCTCAGAGACCGAACCTGGTCGCTGTAGCCGAGAGAATAGAATGTCAGCCTGGCTATGCATACCGATGCCATCGGCGGGACGGGACGGACCTCTGATGCCGTTGTTTGGTGGCCGGCGGGGGCGATGCAGCGCTCGCAGCCCCATCGCCAGCCGGGATGCGCCAGGCTTTCTCTTCTTGCACTCGTCACTGGCAGCACATGATGTCTATGAGCCCTTCTGTCTGCATTCTTCACTGGCAAAGGCGTCTTGCCTACCATGCTACCGGTGTGTACTTGCCACGCTTTGGTCGCCGTGGGCCTTCTGTCCCCAGGGATTGTCGCTTGGGCGGCCTGGGCCCGGCCTCGCCAGTCGCTGAAGCGTCATCATCCATGGCCCTCGGCTCCATGTCAGTCCTCGGGGTGAGGTTCACTAGGCAGGGAAGAGGTGGGGGCGGAATATCGACACCACGTTTCCAAGCAGCGGTTCCGAGAGGGCGGCTGGCGTATGGGCTCTGGCGTTCACGCGGAAGAATGGGATATTACTTACGGATGTGGGCGTTTACTGTACAAGTATTGCATGGCTCACAGAATGCAGGACATGACTCGCTCCCCCGACCCTTGCTCGGACCCGTCAGCCGCGCGTTCCGACATTCCGAGGGCTGCCGGTATGAAAACTTGTGCCGTCTGTAGCCACCGCCGCCTATCATCTGTATTCCCCAATTGAGGTCCCTGTGGTGGATCCATTGCTGCATCATTGTATCACTGGTTACTGCATGGTGGCCCCCGGCCTATTGCTAGAGTCATGTTCGCAGTCTACATTGCTTGAAACTTGGCAGAGGCGGGTAGATAAAGAGGCCATGGGACTGAAGACAGGCCTGTTCAGCCCCAGTCCGAAGCCGTCTTCCCCAACACTCGCATTCATCACCTGCACGTTGCCTCTCATGACCATAGCACACCTCCTCCTTTCCCTCAAGGACCAGCTCCTTTACAATACAGGGCAATCGGTTCTGGTCACCTTTGTTGTGGGCCCCCTCATATACCTCTTCATCAACGAGCTTGTCCGGCACAATGCCCGCATCAGTGGCATGAAGGGTCCTCCGGGTGGCCTTTGATTGGGAACCTCTGGGACATTCGCGTCAACGCTGCCGAAAAGTATCGAGACTGGGCGCGCTCGTTCGGCGATGTCTATCAGATCCAGCTGGGAAATGTCCGGTCGTCGTCATCAACTCGGCCGCGGCGGCAAGGCCATCTTTGGCCAGAATGCCCAGGCCATGAGCTCGAGGCCCGAATTTTACACTTTCATAAGGCACGCACCGTCCCCATCGTTACCTCTCAAAATTATGGCACACTAACGGCTTTGCCTAGATTCTCTCTGATACGGCCGGTACAACCATTGGAACGTCACCCTATAGCGACTCGCTGAAGCGTCGCCGCAAGGGCGCCGCCTCGGCACTCAACAAGCCTTCGGTGCAGACGTACGTTTCGCACCTTGACGTCGAGACCCGCGATTTTATCAAGGAGCTGTACACCTATGGAGAGGCCGGAACAGCCCCGACCGACCCAATGCCCATGATCCAGCGCCTGTCCCTCTCCCGCGCCTGACCTTGAACTGGGAACCCGGTTGAAGAGCCAAAAGATGACCTCTTCGACGAGATTACCCATGTCGAGGAGATTAGCCGCTTTCGGTCTACAACGGGCAACCTCCAGGATTTCATCCCTATTTTGCGCCTGAACCCCGTTAATCTTCACTCGGCCAAGGCCAAGAGATGCGCAGCCGGCGCGACGCGTACCTGTCCGCCCTCAACAAGGGACTGGATGATCGCATCGCCAACGGCAGCTACAGCCCTTGTATCCAGGCCAACGTCATAATGGACAAGCAGGCAAGGCTGAACAAGGATGAACTCACTTCCATCAGCTTGACGATGCTTTCTGGCGGTCTTGACACCGTGACCACACAGGTCGCCTGGTTCATGGCCTTTCTCTCTCAGCACCCCGAAATCCAAGAAAAGGCCGTGTCGGAGATACGCAAATTTTACGACGACAGCCAGCCAATGTGTGAATCTGCCGACGACCAGAAATGCCAATACATTGTTGCCCTTGTACGTGAATCGCTGCGATACTTTACCGTCCTGCGCCTTGCTGCCGCGGCATCCGTGAAGACCGTTGTCTACGAGGGTCTCACGATCCCTCAGGGGTCGGTGATTTTCCTCAACGCTTGGGCTTGCAATATGGGTGAGTCGAGAATCAAGCCCCCTGCCCAGGCTGGAACGAGCTAATGCGCAAAGACCCCAACGTATGGTCCGATCCTGAGGTCTTCCGTCCTGAACGATGGCTGGAGCTACCCGACGCCCCTCTATTCACATATGGCGTTGGCTACCGCATGTGCGCTGGGTCGTTGTTGGCCAACAGGGAACTCTATCTCCTTTATATGAGGCTATTCAACAGCTTCCGCATCGAGAAGCATGACCAGGTTGACTGCCACCCGATACGAGGCAATGCGGATCCCACCAGCTTGGTGGCAATGCCAAAGCGGTACCGTGCCCGGTTCGTGCCTAGAAACCCCGGAGCTTTGGGAAAAGCCATGCAGGATGAAGATACCTAAGATTCGGTCGCTTCCGCGCGAGATCGGTTTCTCAGACGGGTTCAGATGCCATGCGTCTTTGGAGAGAAGTCGTGCCCCGATGCAACAAAGAAATTGGACGGTGTGGCTGTTACACAACGCCGATAGCGCATAAAGTTAGGTAACCTAACTGGATATTGTAAATACTTTTCATGAGTCTGCTGGCTACGCAGCGGTACGTTAGCTGGACTAGCTATGCTTCTTATCAGCGCCGCAGGTCGATGCAGAGAACATATCCTATGAATGATGACGAAGCAACTTCATCTCCGCGGCAAATGTAGTTGACAATGGTCTTTGAACCGAATCCACTGTCGATTCAAATAAAACAGGTCGGATAAAGTGCTCATGAAAACACGGTGCAAGGCTGCTGATATTTAACTTGGCTCGTTGTGGGTAGCAATCGCTTTGGAGACCCCGTAGGTGCAGAGAAGAGAATAGCGAGGTGACGATCTCGCGCCAAGTTGCGCATGCTCGAAATCAGTCAAGGGAACATGCTGGCAGGCGCCGAACCTCCAGGACAAGACCTGGAAAAATGACGTTCGGTTAACTTATTGTCCAAGTCGAGTGACGAATGATTACGTCGGCGAACCCGAGTATCGCCATTCGGCCTTCGTTCACGTCATTGATATGAAACTTGGCTAGCCAGATATCGGAGCAGAAAAAGACTACGGACCCGCAGCAGGGGTTCTGGGTGTGATTGAAAAATCTAGCAGCACGAAAGGAGAGGGTTATAAGCAAAGGGCGCAAGCGACGTGAACAGAATTGAATGCGGCAAGAAATGCCTGGCGGCGAGGAAGGGCTTGCTTATCAGAGAGAGAGTATGTCAGGTTCTGCTCCGTTCACAGCGGCTGCAGGAGGGTCAGAGTAACGGAATCTGGTGTGGCTCGTAAAGAGCAAAAGCAATGGGCGGGTAGGTGTACTCTCCGTCACTAAAGACCGGACCCCTGTTCAGCCACTCGTCAGCTCTGATGCCTGCGGAAAAGTCGATGATAGCATAGTAATTATAAATATAGATGAAGATGGAACTATTCATTCGTGGCGACGGCAGCTCACAAACTTACTATATTTCGGAAACTCTACCGGATGACTGAAGGCGCCACAGCTCCCTGTCCACCATTGTCGTGATAGAAGAGCGTCCGTGCTTGATTCAGGAATGGGGACCTCCCGCGAATACGCTGTGTGAAAGTGCCTTGTGTACTCAGCGATGCAGGATAAGAGGAGGCTGCCCAGGTAGGGATATTAATGTTGGTGGGAGTCGGCAGATATGTCCCCTGGAGGAGATATGGCAGATACAAAGTGGAAGAGGATTAATTCAGCCTCGAAATTTGGGTCCCTCGACAGTATTTGAAGATGTACCGCACCAAAGATGTAACTATTGCAGAGTTCTTCGTTGCCATACGGTTCACGCTATTCAACGGGCGTATTGTTAGCCAAAGTTTGCTGCCCCGGTGCCTTGTATCACGCCAAGGTGTCTAATTTGCGCGTACCGAGAACATCATTCCTTTACGCCAAGGAAGCGAGCTTGCTTCGAAGCTGACAGGCTGAAGATCTAAACCGGGTGCTGTTCACTCATAACTTACTCTATTACGAAGGGCATGGCCACTTGTCATCGATGCCAAGCCGACTGGCTGCCCGAGAGTTGATATAATCTCCATTTCGGCCCTACAACCTTATGTGGCAACCTAGGTGTGCCGGTCCCGGTAGCCAGCTGCCCTCGAGTCCTCGAGTCCGGGCTCCCGTACGCACTCTTCGCCCTGTTAGCTGATATATTTGGCTGCTGTACTTCGTGGAGAGGCATGGAAATCTCCAACAAGTCACAGCCTGTGATCACAGATGCTTCACATAGCTCTCACTATCGGTCGTGTCTGCTCTTTCCCCCGGCCAAGCCTTTTAGCTGTATTCCTTTCTAATACCAGAGAGCAACATTATTGTTACGGCAATAATGACATAACATACTCAACGCCTCTCCGATGTTTCCATCGCCTGGTCTGCCTTCTACCAACGCACTACAGATGATCATTCAACTTTACCAGTATTAATCTTGCCGGAGTTATTTGTAATAAATGAGACGTGAACTCCAGTGTCAATCAGGTGAAAAAGCTCAAACCCTTACTCGAGAGACTGGCCAGAAGGCCAGAAAATTATTAAAACGATAAGAGGCGAACAGGTAGCACGTGGAGGTAGGTGGATGTCTGAACGGCAACTTACGTCAGTAGGAGTAGAACTCCTCGGAGAAAGTCAGGGGCTAAACCTTGAGAGGAATGCAAACGGAAACCGGTATCAAGAGGCATTATTGATTAGAATGGAATGAGTTTTGGGGAGAGAAGATAAGAGATTATGGGTTGAGCCTTCAAGTTAGAGTATATTTGGCAGAGCGAGGCATTCACCCAGTCCAGATTTATTAAACTAGGGTCGCTCATAAACGGTACATGCTTATGCTTCAAACCCTCTATTTATGTTACGACGTGGCATTGGCCGGCGGCGTCTGGTCGAATGTGGCCACCTATAGAGTCTGAGATGGAACATGTCACCCAGCTCTTCTAGACGTCCCGGCCTTGCATGGCAACGTAATCGGAACGCATAGCCTCCCATAATGTACATGTACACAACTGATCCGTAGCGAGAACCACAGACCTCGCAAGGGGCGTCTTTGCTCGCAAATCTAGCATGTCTAGAAACATCAAAGAGAATAACGAGCAAACGCTATCATGCTAGGGGCAGGCGGTAGACAGGTGTACGTGGAGGCCGCGACGTTTGTAAGCGCCTGGTCTTGTCTGCTTCTCAGCTGGTGTGATTCGCCTCGTTGCTGGGTTTTAAGCGAATGCTCCGACAATGGACATGCCGAGGGCTTCGAGAGTTCGAGGTCAGCGACAGTTGGAAGCTATAGTCGGGGTGATTTCTTACCTCCGCAAGAACCCAGGCAAACGCAATGGCCTTCTTCTTGCCGTTCATCAAGTGATTTGCCTCCTCGGATAGGAAATCCTCGGCCAAGAGGTCGACCAGAGCGGCGTAGATAAGCAGACCCGATGATCTGAGTGGAAATTATCAGCCTGAAGAACAGCCACAGGCTTGGTTGCTGGGCTCCGGTGGAGAGGAGGTACACTCACATGGCGTTGAAAACACCGACGATGATAAGCCCGAATGCGCTCTCGGGATCATAGCTGCTCCGGGTGATCAAGCCAATAGCCTGACCAATGGGGGCCGTCGTCCCAAAGGCAAAGACTAGCAGCCACGGCCGATAGCTTCCCTTGGGATATGGCACGGCGGCGATTCGGGATCCCAAGCCAAGGCCCTCAAACATTTGATGGAACAGAATGGCGACCAACAAGATGACGAAGCCGTCAATAGTGATGGAAATCGTCATTCCCACGAAGACGGAGTGGAATAGAATGCCTCCCTCCAACAATGTGATGTTTGTCGACATCTTCTTGAACACCTGTGGGTCGACGGCTTGGTTCTCCTCGTCCAAGTAGACCACCTCGGATGTAGAAACCTCACTCCATCCTTCACCTTGGGCGATCGCGAGTTCGATTGCTGCTGCGAGTTTACCAAATCTATCATTTGGTTGTGTTGGCGAATATATTGTTCGTAGAAGACGACGAACCACGCGGGCATGGTTGATAGGCTATCTCGCGCATTGTCGTCGTCGTAAACGTTAGAAGCAACGTGCCGCTCGTAGACGCTCTTGACAGACTGAATGTCAACAGGCTCTTTCCTGTCCATTGGGAAACCGTAACTGGCCTCATCAAAGGCCGGCGGTGGTTGTTTATGGCGAGGCGAGTGCAGGGCAGCCAGCTTGTTGAGGTCGAGACTCTCGCCCGTGGGCCCGCCGTGCGAGTGTCCTCCCGTCTTCGCATTGAGCCACATCTCAACCCCAAAAGTGAACAACGAACCCATCATGATGACTCCGGGAGTGGTGGATAATCCTTTGTAAAAGGTTGGGAAGGCATGGGTTCCGAGGCTCTCAAAGGCGGTGGGAGAAGCTGGGCCGAAGGTTTAGCCAAGACGCCTCCAGTTGGTGTGGTAAGCTAGCCTTAGGAGCCGGACTCACATGAACAAAGGCAGTGGCTATGAGAACCCCGGTTCCGAAATGCTTGCAAGCAAAGAAGACTTTTGGGGGAATCTTCATCCACTTGACTTTCTTGGCCACCACGGGGAAGCCACAGCCTGTTGGGCGTGAAGTCAGCGCGGGGCGCTTCCTGCGGGAAAGCTGCAGCAAGGGGAGTCGGGCTTGACCGTACCTATGCATGATGCTGCCAGAACCAGGACTATCAAGTCATCAGTATCGAGTCTTAGCAACGCGGCTAGGCTACTCACAAAGCCCTGCTACGTGCAGGCCCAAGTCATATTCTGCCGCTTCCTTTTTACATTGAGGCTTTGCGTCTGCATCCATGGTCGGCAGCTTCGTCGCCCGCTGCAAAGAAGCAGATCGGCTCGTGGGGAATGAAGGAGATGGGGAAGGTGTCCCTTTCTTGCCGGCGACCAAGGTCGTTGCTTCGTGCCGCGGTGTCCAAAGCGAGCAATTACGCGAGAATGTCGAGATTCCAGCTCGACAAATGATCAATAAGCAAGCCCCATGAATTCGACCAGCGAAGAGTCGTCGACCAGCGAATCAGTGACGGCGCCGCAGAAAGTGCAGAGGACATGAAGCTTTTGCAAGTACGGAAATCCGGGGTTCCGCGCCTTTAAAGACTTAAGACAGCAGACCGGAGGGCGGGAGGCAGGCGTCAAACCACCGACGCCAGCTCCGATCCCCCCATGGATAGAAGTCTTCCAGTTGCCGCTGCTCGGACTCGAAACGCTCCTTTTCCCTTTTTCTCCACAGAAATGTGCTGCGGCTCCGCCATTCTCGGGGCTGCGCTAGGGCGGGCGGCCGACGACAGGGCAAAGGCACACTGCCGCTTCAACCGGCGGTCTGGGGCCCCTGTCGGAGAATATGTCGCGGGCCGCCCTTTGATGAGACGAATGTAGTAAAAGTCGTGGCCATTGCGGAGACTGGGCCGCTACCAACTGACCATGTATCACTCGGCGGTCGTGGCCCAAGCGACGAAGTCATGCGGAGGCGATGAAACGCGACCCTCGCCAAGTTTGAGACTGGCAGTCTGACGGAGAAGCACTGTACGTAGCGCCATTGATAACGCGTGTGATTATTTCCGTCATCTCAGCTAATTAGTGACGCCCCGGACAGGCCTAACGACGGGAATGTGTGACGCTTCCCCATCACCGATCTTCGTAGACGTCAAACGCACGCAAAGACTACCCTTCCTTGGATACGCAAGGGCTTAATGTAACAAACCCTTGATCAAACATATGCACACTTTACTTCTGTTTTATTTCCAGCTTCAGGTCCCCCTTTTGGGCCTTGATGATAACTACTGCGTTGCGCTTAGAACCAGACGATCCATGCGTTGTAATCGCTTAATGTAGTAATTTGTGGACCGTTGACGTGCCGCATCATGATTCCAAAGTCGATTTGGGCTCAAGGTACTTTGCAGAAACACAGCATCCCTTATGCGTACTGAGATGATGCACTGCGGAAACCTTCACGGAGGGCATTTTTCTTTGGCCTTGCCCCCTCCTCCCCTATGAGGGAGGACTCAATGTGAAGAATATGCGCCAGATTCCTCTCTTGGTCCGTCAGGCGGTGACAAATGCAAGGCTAACAAGGTTTCGCCCGGCAGGATCTGCGGGCTGACTCGGCAACAATACTGTACGTATCCCGACTCGGGTACGGATACGGAATAATACGACGAAGGAAGTGGGGTTCTTATTATAGAACAGCGTCGCTTTCAATGTTTGATGTAAACACCTCAGACAGCATGGGATAATATGTCGCAGACAATCGGTGGAGAACAACAGGTCAAGCAAGATCACTAAGTAGTTCGTCCCGTGAAGTAAACGGGCCTCTGTTCGCTTATCTTATTGTTGGCAAAGTATCAGGTAGGGGTCTTCGGACAATGTGGCCTTAAGACGGCCTGCAGCAGTGCGCAAACCTCAACCGAGATATCTCCTCCCCGTGAAGCAGCATTATTGCCGGCATAGGAAAAATCAAAAGCGAAAACAATGAAATTCTTCTATCACGTACCACACTTAGCCATAGCCAAGGCGGTTAATTGCATTGACCGCGGGTTTGTGACGTGGCTGACTGAGGCAGCTTCTCTATGCGTGTAAAGCAACTGACTAGGCAGCGCACAGTAACGCCTGGTGACAGGACTCGGAAGATAACGTTGCTCCCACTACTGGGGGACGCTGGGGTAAGAGGGAGGGGCACGAGGGAGGGGGTGGAGGCCCCAGAAACAGGAGCCATATCAGATACATACAACACCAGCGTCGATGTCGTCATATCGTCTACTGAAAATAGTTTCATATATTTATCAATCTCATAGAACTCTAAGCAATAAATTCCGGCACAGGTAGAGTTTTATCTTATTGGTAAGATATTTAGATAAATGCCCTTTATATTCAAGTGAATATTTACATTATTCAGTTCAATCGAGAATCGGAGACATGAGGCGTGTCTCCGGTTGCTCTAACTTCTACCTGCCAAACAGGGACAGATGCATTTCTTGGAATCACGGATTTAAGGAAAATATAGCGGGGACATTAGTTGCGCAATTCGACTAGATCTCGCAGACTTTTGAGGAGCTGACGGCTCGACTACGGTTGATATTATATGTGACTCAACATGGGTTATTCTATGGCTCGTGAGCTGGCCCCTTGTTTTGCTATGAGTTTCTGCACTCGTCAAGAGGACGGTCCCCAGCCATAGTAGCCTCCGGGTTAAAGCATTGGCAGAGTCGGATGAAGCTGCTCTACTATTGACACTAGCCTGCGTTGCCGTTTTGTAGTTGAGAGAATGAGCAAACCCTCGGGTGGCATGGTATGGCCATGTTCATGCCGCGTTTCATGTTTAACCCTGGCCGGCACAGGCTGGTGCCGTGGCAAGGAATATTAAGATGAAGAGCGATGCAACATGACGACTTGACGCTGAGCCCCCTGGTCCGGGTGATGCAATCTAATGATGTTGCATTAATTTTATCAATCTCCTTGAAATATCGCCTAGGCAATCAGATCTTATCCATCTTTGTCGCAGTCATAGCAATTTGCTATTCTTAGAACTTCTATCGTTTGCCATTATTGCCCTTCCAACGCGACAGCACGCCTGACATTCAGGGCTCTATGACTAATTTCTATTCCACCAGGGACGGGAATCCACTCGACCCATTCGCTAAGCGATGCGGCTTCCCAAGGAGATCGAGACCTTGGGAGGCCGCTGGTCTATATGCAATCAAGCGCATCAATCCATCTCAGACATGGCCAAGCACCTGGATGCCAGCGTCTTGACATCGCTTAGCGACTGCATCGCCAATTGTAGAGCACGTATCATAATAATATGGCTCTTTGTGTTGTTGGCCCCTGCTGTCTTTTAAAGGACATGCCACTTGCCGGAGTAAAACCCGAGTTGCCAGACTAGCCGAAACACTTGACGCCAAGAGAGAGACTGTAGAGTCCGTCCACACCTAGATAATCCTGCAAGAGAGAGATGGACTGAGCGTCACTCTCGAAGGTTAGAATGCTCGGGTTTGATCGTCTTAGCGCTACCGACTAGCACCCACTTGAAACCAATCAGGTCACTCAACAGAAGCTGTGTTAGTGCGACAGGTGAAGTTGCGACCACGTAGATGATGCTTCAGGCAGGAGTCAGATCCGGTACGAGCAAAAAGTAAACTAGTCGCTCTGTCGTCTGAATAATTCCAGACAAAGCCCGGGAGAGCCTGGTGAAGTCGAGTGACGTCTCTGATTATCATCTGGTTGCCGGGAAATGCGCAGGGCGACTGTACTACTTCGTAGCATCCCAAAACGCAGGTGAGATTGATAAGGGCAAGCGAAACGCCGTGCCGCACTTGAAACGCGTTGTACGGTCGGGGCGGTTTATCAACGGGGCTGATCGGATGTCACGTTAAAGAGCGCTGCTTACAAGAAGGTCGCAGCAATCTGAATGCTTAGAGCCTTTTTTTTTTCATGAAAGGCTGCACGCATCACGAAGTCAACGTGACCATGTTGTGCTTTATGGCTAAGGAATATGGCACCCTAGTAGCAGCTCTCATCGCCTTTCGGTATTGGGACAGCCGCGTCGAGTCGATGCTTGCCAGCGATGAACCGGGCGGTGCGTTTCCTCTCTGGAAGCTTGAACTGCTCCAACTTCGATGTCGATATGCTTCGTACTACGACACAAGTGTGCGTTGAAGAGTGACATTCGGGCCTTTGATACGATTTCATTTAGGGAACCTTTAAAAATTGAACTTTATGGTCGGAGGCTGAAGCCCCAAGTTTCACCTCGTTGTAGGCGATCCTCTAAGATGTACATTATTACTGCCCCGGTTTATAAGCTCGGTAGTCGTATGGTGTGATATATTCATCTCAATGTACCCCAGCGCTCTATTATCAACCGACTGATTTCGGCTGTGGCAATTTGTTCTTCGAGAGTGTCCCTGTTTGGCTTTGGCCCCAGCTTTGAAGTTAGAGGCAGTTAAAAGCCCCCAACGTCGTGGGTTAGAATTTTATATTCCAAGCGAGCTTCATTAAGAATATTTCTCGACATACACGGCCAATCTGTTTTTGGTTTGGTCGGCAATTCTTTGCAAGAAGGTTCATATGTAGTAACGCGATGTATCCCCCGTTACAAGAGATGTTTGCCGACCCCCAATGGATAGGCGGCAGAACTCACACTTACACTGACCATAGAGTCGCAGCGCGTTACAGCGTCACCGTTGCAATGCTTTGACCAACTATAGTTACGAGTGGGTGGCATTTTATGTCGCATCGCAGATTATGTATATAGTCCAGAAAACTCATCATTACAAGTCTGTTTAGTTGCATTTACAAATCCATGGGTCAAACAACCGCCAAGATTTCCACCCTGATGATGAAGCACACTATACACACTCTTCAAGCTGCGGCGTTCGCGACAACGTATGTGCCCAGTGCATTGCCCCGGTCTTTAGTACTTCCAGGCGAAATTGTACGCACCGAGTGCAATCAACCACCCATGCCGAAATCTTTGCAAACTTCCCGGCCTTGGGCTTTGATGTTCTCGACAACCCATAGTCGATAGTTGGAGGAAAACAAACGCTTTTCAGGGGCAAAGGCGAAGTTGTTGCTAGTCTCGCCTATGTGAATTTTGCCAAGCAACACGCCATCGGGATTCCAGATGTGGACGCCGTCGCCAACACCTGCCCAGACGTTGCCCTTGGTATCACAGTGGATGCCATCCGAGAAACCCACGTCGGAATACGAAAAGAGTCTCATGTTAACTAGCCGCTTGTTTTCGACGACGTCAAAGGCATAGATGGTTGCCGGCTGCCCGGTGACCACGTCAAACTGCTGGCTGCCAGTGTCGGAGACGTAGACGAGTTTGTTGTCCAGCGAAAACTCGATGCCATTTAGCTAAACGAAGCCGTCTGCTACGACCTAATCAACTCATGTATCCGACTCGAAGCGGTAGACTTGCCTAGGCATCGACGGCGGTGGGCGAAATGCTGGTATTAGCCGTAGTCGTCCGAGTCGAGCGAGACGACAGTGATGTTGATGCTGTTCCCGGGCTCCTGTAGTTGGACGTGATATTGAGGAACTGTCCTCTTTGTTGTAGACGCCGGCTTCGTGAAATGCCTCCCAGGGCAGATCCCAAACCATGCGCGCCGTCCGTGGCCCATAACGTCGTAGAAGTCGGGTGAATACGACAGGAACGAGATGGCTGGCTTGACGGCGCCCCCCAAGAGGTTTGGGAGATATTGGGCGTTGGTGGCCGTCGCCAATAAATCGACGTTTACAAAATGCGACATGTTGGCTGTCAGCCAGAGCATCGTGATGGGACCAGGGAACGTGAGTGGTGTGAAGCAGGAGGAGGATGATTTCTTTCGTGAGCCCAGACTCCACTGGTCCTGGACGCCCTGGCGTTGTGCCTGCAGTCTGTGCTTTGGTTACGGCGGTATTTGCTTTCCCCATCATGAGCTTCCCTTCCCGCCCTTGTCTCCATGGCCCCACGGGATGCACGATCGGTCTCCGGAGTCGGACGCCGTGCTGGGTAGAGAGGAGTACATCGAAGGGACGATTTGAGCCACACCGTCTCCCGAATCAGCTGTCTAGAGTATTCTTCCATTTCTTTAGAGCCGCCTTGAAACTAACGAATCTTTCCTCCCTCGACTAGAGCAATTCCAGCAGCCCCTTTCAGATCGGACACGTGGTTGTTGAACCGTTTCGTCGCGTTGTGTGTCGCGCGCATGCACTCTGTAGTTGGCGACTGTTGGCGTCGCGGGCGTGCTCGTCGAGCAACTCTCTAGCGCCAGGTCGGTCCGGGTATTGCAATTCTTTGGCTGCAACGAGCTTCCAGTTCCCGCAGCTGCGAAAACTCAACGAACCGGTTCAGAACAGTGAACTCGACCTTAAACGACGCTGTACACAACAGGCTTCCAGGCTGTTTGGATATTGTATTGCAGTGAACTCCCAGGCCAGGACGCTCACGTCGAGGAGAACGATAAAGAAGTTGACGATAATCAGGTGGCTCACGACGCGTCGCGGTCCAGCAGGCGCCGCCCTTCAGCAATTGAAGAATCTTAGTCGTTTCGATAATATAGAGGCCCGATATAATGAGTTTCTGCACGGTAAAGGCGGACAGCTGCAGCTTCTCGAAAATGGAGTACGGCGTCACGAACGGTTCTAGCTTGTTCGAGTTAGAGCCGTAAACCAGTACTATGACCGATATATCCAGGCGTATCGCGTTGGTTATGATCATCGCGAGAACGTAGCGCAGGAGCTTCGGGTGTTAGAGGACGAAGTGCAATCGCGAGTATAAGTCGATCGACTGGCCCGTGATCATAGTGCATCAGCCAATAAGGACACTGGAATGCACGAAGCCCGCCGGGTCAACATGCAGGAGCTGGAGCAGGTAGCCCACGACATTAAAGGCGATGCCCCATGTTGCAACGACAAGGCCCCAAAAGTAAGCCGCGAAACTGCTTAAAGGTGCTTGCTATTAGGAAATTGAGCTCCACCGTTATAGAGCGCAATGCTGATGAAAACGACGATGACGACACAGAAACCTAGTCATAGGCCCTGGATCGCCGTCACGTCATCACTTGAATCCATGGCAGACGGCTACATATGGTTACGCCGCGCAGGAAGTTGCCCGGAGGGCGGGTTTGTATACCATGGTCGACAGTGTCAGGGAGACCGCCGCTGTGCGGAGGGCTGCACGATCGTCATATCGTTGACGAGAAGGCGCGTCCTAGGCGGTAAAGATGACAACAGCTTTGGTGTATGCCGTGAACGCCGGCCGAGAAGAAAGCCAGCCTGCCGCATGCAGAAGCGCGGCATTCGTCTACAACCATTTAAGCCCCAGTCTGGCGTCAAGGCGCCGAAAGCGACAAACTAGGTTAAGGCAAGTAGGCAGTAGTAACGTGGCCGCGAACGAGACCAACCGGTTTGTGTGGTCGGTGCCGAGAGTTGTCAAAGGCGTTGAGCTTTCGGACCTTTAGGGGACACGGCTACCGGACCCCCTTCGCTCCTAACCTAGTTCCCTCAGCACTGAGATTGGAATCCGTGAAGCCTGCATGAGGCGGAAAGCAGGATCTAAGAATTTGGAGCGAGAAATCGCCACCGTGCGCGTCTGGCATTGGATATTATATCTTCTTCACGAAAGATGCATCTATGGCCGAGATGGATTATCATGATTTATCCCAGTAAGCATGAGGTCAACTGGCAGCGTCAGGAGAGATGGTGGCAGCTCGGCGAGTTTAATGCCACGAGGTCGCACTCTTGCACTGAACACCTCCCCTTCTACCTTAGGTGAACGAACTTAGGACCAGTTATTCTACAACTTTTAGGTAGTCTCTGACTGTTTAGGGATTCCAAACGCTCCTTTACAGGCCGAACTTTTGTGACGGCCGAGAAGAATGCGCAAGCGCTCGACTAATCTCCTCCGCACTCAAGCCACGGCCCGCGATGCTCTGTTTTAATGACCAATGAAATTGCCGCCCTATATACAGTCCAGATACGTCATCTAGGTTTCTATCCAGCACGTGGCTTCCAGCCCTCAATCCAAATGCCCATGGCGCTTTCCGGACCAGAATGCTGGCGAAAGGGCTTGAGCTCAACCGTTGGTGACAGCTGGCCAGCCGGCGTTGGGCAGCCAATCGAACTCTTGACTGGATCGACGACCCAAAGGCGATCATTTATCAACACCAAATTCTCAAAGGTAAAATCAGTTCTGAGTAGGGAATATTAAGCAAAGTCTAATCGGTGTGTGAGCCGCCCCGGGCGACGAAGCGCTCAATTAAATTTTTGTGTAGCCTGGGCAAGCAGCACGGTCCGGCATGGGCCAAACGACCAAATCGAATAGTCCCATGTTACTAGGATGACTATTCAAGGAAAGCCGTGGCAAGCAAATGAGATTTTACTCGTTTCTCCGCCCGCTGTGTACATGGACATCTACATCCCGAAAGTGTACAGGGAGATTCTAGTCCCTTCAAGGCCTGTGGTCTCCTGGTGTCGAACCCTGCTTGAAGGCATAGAGGGAGACAAGCCAAGCCTCGGCTTCCTCGGCCCCTGATAGTGGCTGACCCTGCCGGCTCGTTCTAAGGGGACCATCGCCTATTTTGCTTGTTCCATACCTGGAGTGTCTTAGGGCATTGGCAATGATGAAAAGGAGGTCTCATCTGTTCTCCAGCTCAGGTTGTGGCGTGACAAGTCCCATCACGGGAGGAGTTTGCACCATAGAACGCAAGTCGCCATACGACAAGCCGCTCACACCCCGGCTGTAAACACTTAGACTCACAAATCAACTCCAATTGACACAATACTCTTGGACAAGAATCCTGTGACGAAGCTGCGCCCGGCGACGACCCCGTTGATGGAGGGATCGGTAGCAACCAACACAGCGGTGCTCGAGCTGCGAATTCGGTTGCCATCATCCTGAAACAGCAGGCGTTTGCTCCATCCCCTAGGCCCACATCATTTCGAGCATTGCTTGTTTGCTGCCCGGCCCGCAGGGTGCCACCTTCCATACCATGACGCCGTCTTTGGCATGGGGTCACGACTGTTTTCTGCAGATCGACGGCTCTTGTTAAGCCGCAGACGATAAAGCCACTGGCGTCAAATGTGCATTCGCGAAGGGGTCCGAAAAGTAGCTCGGGTTGTCAAGGTGGAGTCCAATTCAATCGATTCAACGACGTCGATCCGGCGGGCTGTGCTGTTCGAGTCCATGCCTTCAAATGTACCTAGATGTAGCACCCCGCTCGCCGCGCTCCCCAACAACACGTCCTGTGACGTTTTCCCGTGGCCAAGGCCGTTATTGTTATGCAAACCGGCAAGGGCAACCGAGGCCTTGACATTGTAGCTGTCGTCCGTCGGACTACCGGCGCTGGCAGAAAACTCGACGTAGAGCGTAGTAGACCACTTTGCTTCGTAGTAGAGATCTTCAAGCATCCTTAACCATCCGTCCCTGTAGTAGTGGTCGTTTGTCACGAAGAAGGATGTCGGTGATAGGGCCAAAATGTCATTGGGCGTTGCTATGAGCGGATCCCAGACTGAACGAACGTGTCGGACCGTGTCGGATCCGATGACGTAGTGAAAGACTTCGACCACCGAATAACTCTTGGGCGCACTAGCGTTGGCTTTTTGGAAGTGCTCACGGCTTGGCTTATGGTTGACCGCGAAAACGTAGACAGCCTCACCCTTCCGTCTACTAGGATCGTCGATTATATCGATGCCGTGTGTAACGAAGGGCGGTTCGAAATTTTCAAAGTGCAAGGCCCTGGCCTTTAAAGTCTGCTACGAATGAGCAAATGAGGACATGGAAGAAGCAAAAACGGACGTACTCTTGGGTCAATGATCCGGATATTGCCTCGAGCCTTGGAGGCAGCTGTCGGATTATTGAAGTTGGCAAGAGGTGGAAACCACGAATATCGGGTAGATTCCACATCTTCGCAAGCAGTAAAGAGCAGCTTGCTTGCTTCATGATAGTGAAGGTCCTCGCAATGCAAGGTGTTTCCGATGATAGAGACATCCTTTGGCTGTATAGAGTCTTGGCTTGCGGGCGTTCGGAACACGCCCAGAACGAGAGTCATCCGCCGAAGGCTGGTGCCATAGGTATAAGACCCAAGAACTGCCAAGAGAAGCACAAGACCTGGAGCAATATAGAACGAATTGCGAGCGGCCATGATATGTAATCCACGGCCAACGCAAGCCGTTAGAGAAAGCATACAGGCTAGGACGATTTCAGATGAAGTCAATGCTAGGGCAAACGAATGCCTCAGGTAGCTAAAGCGGTGAGAGAACAAGGCAGGCCGGATTTGGTTATAATAAGCGGGAACTGATTTGTATTTTTACTACCCTCCTCTAATAAATGATTTGACTGGCCAGCGCCACCCCGCATTGCATCTTTTGCCGAGTTGCATGGCGCAGCGTGTGGGGGCACAAGTAAACGAGCCTGGGTACTGTTGGCTGCTGCCCGCTGTGGTCGTACGTGTCCCATCTAGTACCCCAGTCGCTCAATCATGTGGGGAGAGTTGATGAAGGCGCATCTCTCCATCGAATCTCTGTCTGCTGATGGCAAGATGAGAGCGGGGCCCGTCGAAAGCTAACAGACCCTCAAAGGGACCTCCCATCATATATAGGGCGGTTTCGTTTAGGGTGGGAAAAGCCGCTCGAACCCTTGAAAGGTCTCGTGGCTCTTTAGCCACGGTCTGCCTGTGCTTGCAAATGTTGACCACGACCTTGAGCCCCTGACCTTTAAATACGAGTCGGAAGCCGTTGGATAGAACGGATAGCCATTGACATCGTAATGCGAGAGGTTTCCGAAAATATACGCAAACTCCGAGTTATAAATAGGACCGAGTCCATTTTGGTGTTTGCGTGAGCAAGTACAGTCGAGGATTGTCTGGTTCCAGTTGCATAGGTAAACGGCATTGCCCGCCGTGTTAAGGCGCTCAGCATACTATACAGCCGGACAGGTCATAGGAGATCTCTGAAAACCCGCCGATCGAAAGAATTTATTAGACAGCCTAGCTCCTGGTTTGCCTAGAAGTCGGATATAGGGTAGAGCGAGAGACGTTGATCCACGTTATCTCTTATTAAACCGGGCGCGTATATAAATATAAACTTAAAAGAATTATCTATAGTTTTAATCTTATTGTCTATAAAAAAGGTTACTCTTAAGCAGGGGCTTAAGAGCATAGTAGAAGAAGTAGGGGCATAGAAAGGTAAATTAAGTAATATATATCTTAGTCTATCTATTAGGATAAGGGAGGGGCTTATATAGGTATAGTAACTATATATAGCTAGCTAAAAGAGGGCATTAAGGTATTCCTATACCTAAGTTAGGCCTATATAATGTCCTTAGGCTAGGGGAGTTATATTAGTTAGGCGGGCTTCCTTATATATAACTATTAGGTCTACTAGGCATAACTATAGCCTCTTATACCTACTCTCCTTAATATACCCTTGCTACCCTAGCTTCTAGATAATAGGCAATAGGTAGAAGAGCGTTTAGTCTAATAAATATAAGGCTATTCTAATATTAAATTCAGCTACTTTATTTTCTATTTAAGGAGGTTATCTAAAAATAGGGAGGCTCCTAATTATATCCTACAGGAAAGGTAAATATAATAAAAAGGAAGTTTATTCGGCGGCTAGTGCTCGAATAGTATATATAAAAAAATAAAAGCCAGGACCTAGGGAGAGGATATGGGAGAAGCTATTTCCTCTCCCTTTAGGTCCGTTTATGCCCGGCCCCTAGGGCGTGGTTATATAACCTGCTCTTCCGCCCTAGGGAGTCGAACTTACGATTAATAAGGTTATATAGCCTGCTCTTACCGTTTAACTAGTAGTTATAAGTTATATTTATAACCTTCTTTATAAGGAGGGGTATATGGGGCATCCTTTAAGTAGCCTAGGTACTATAGTACCTTTGCGGCAACGTAGTCCTTTAAGATAAAAGTAATTATAAAGGTAGGCTTTCTAATAATATATTCCTTATATTAATTAGTCTTAATTTAATAAAGCTATTGCGATTATCGTAAGTTTAAGCGCTATAGTATTATACTATTTAATAGGTAGTCTAGTAATAACTTTACTTCTTAGTAGTAAATAGGGCTAACTACCCCTATATCTTTATAGTTTCTTAACTAAATTAAGATCTAATTATACCGTTAGAATCCTTAATCTTAGTATATATAGTTCTTATAAAGAGAGATATAAGAAGTATATATAAAATACAAGTGAAATTAGAAGTAAGGTCGGATAGGTAGGGCAGAGATATTTAATTCTTATAGGGCAGTAATTATAGTAGGGAGTAATTATTATATTACCTTAATTATCCTTCTTTCCTTTATCTAACGGTCCTCTTTATACCTATCTAGTATCTTAATTAATAAAGAAGATCCTACTTATAAATATTCTTTTAACTTATAACGACCGGTATTATTCCTAAGGGATAAACCTATTAAGGGGTTTATATTAGTAGATATAATAGGGCGTGGTCTAAGTAATAATAAGTATATTACGTTAGTAATAAGTTAGAGGTTATAGACTATAAACTATAACTAGGTAATTAAGTAATCGGAATTAAAGATAAGATTATAATAGGGATTATAATAATTATATTAAAAGCTAAAGAGCTATCTATCTAAAAGAGTAAAAGTAGGTAGCAATATATCTATAGTTACCTTACTATAACGATATTGCTTATTATATTTAGCTTATTTAGTCTACTTAGTACTAATCTAGCTAATCTAACTAATTAAACTAATTAATACTTAGTTTACTTAGTATCGATTATCCGATCTAACTAATCTAACTAATCTATTATATAACCTTTATATTAACGGTTCTTCTATAGTCTATAGCGCCTAGCATCTTACGCTTCGGCTATATAGCTTATATTCTAACCGTCTTCCCCTTTATAACGACCGGTGTTATTCCTAAGGGATAAACCTATCGAGGGGTTTATATTAATAGATATAATAGGGCGTAGTCTAAGCAATAATAAGTATATTACGTTAGTAATAAGTCGGAGGTTAGAGACCGTAGACTATAACTATGTAATTAAGTAATTAAAATTAAAGATAAGATTATAATAGAGATCGTAATAATTATAATATTAAAAGCTATCGAGCTAAACCCTTATCCTTCCTAGGATATACTACTAATAGTATATCTAGTTATATTTAAAAATCCTATTCTTATAATTCCGATAAATCGTATTAATAATTAGAACTAGTATCTTAGACTAAGATCTATAGTATTAAAATTATACCTTACTCCTATTATTTTCGGTTAGGTCTAACTTATAAGGTCGGCGAGCGTTTTAATTAGTATTTTAAATATACCTCCGTAGTCGTTCTTATAATAGTTATAATATAGCGTTTGCCCGTTCGTTTTATCCCTTTCCTTCTTTATCCCTTTTTTTTTTACTAATATTCCTTCTTTTCTAGTTTATCGTATTATAAATTAATAGTAAAAGATTAATTCGGACGAACGGAAAGTAAAAGAAGCATTAAAGGAAGCGATAGCTCGCCTAGCTCGGATTAAGAAATAGAAGCGTTTCCTAAAGGACCGAGGTAGTAAGTTATTTTAGCGGGGTATATAAGCTATTACCATGCCCCACCCCCCTTTCGGTAACACCCACCTTTCGGTAGCGCATTAGGAAATATCACCAAAACCCATCAATTTCACTTACACCGATTCCAGCCAGCTTTGAAGATATTCACAAGCCGTCACTTGGAGTAGATAGAGGATTGATTGAATTCTACTTTTCGATGGTTGAATGTTTGTACAGGGTCTGGCCTGTGCGTACCTTGCGCGAAATTACCATCCAACCCCTAATCTCCTTCCGCCTCCTGACGAGGATTCTTCTCGTTATTCCTCCACCACATGACCAAAATGACCTTAAAGCGGCCTCGGGTATTTATACGGAGGATATTATAGCTAATGCGATAATTGATGTCACAAAAAACGGCTTGTCGCAGTACCGCGCCGCCCAAAAGTATGACATACCTCAGCAGTCTATTTCCGACAGACTCAAAGGCCAGGTAGCCCTGGCTGATCAGATCCAGCCTCGTCAACTCTTGAGTAAGTCTCAGGAAGCTCGCTTGGTTTCTTGGATCCTCCGCCAAGAGTCTCTCGGCTATGCTCCCTCCACAGTCAGATCCGCGCATGTGTGGAGGCTCTTATGAAGCAACTGAACAACGAGCGGACAGTGGGGCGCAACTGGGTCTCTAAATTCATCAATCGCCATCCGGACATCAAGAACAAGCGTGGGAGACGTCAGGAAGCTAACCGATTTAATGCTTTTACGCCTCGTGCGGTTCACTGGTTCTTCGATATCAGGAAAAGGAGTATGGATGGATTAAACCAGAAAATACCGTGAATGTTGACGAAGGCGGTATTATGTCTGGCTTTGGTGAGTATTTGGCTTGTCTTTCATTACTTTTACTAACCAGACTCTTTTGCCAGGTTTGGATAGTCTTGTGGTTGGGAGTGCAGACCAAAACGGAAGGCCCTTCTGAAAGGGCCACAGTCCCGCAACTGGACCTCATTTATTGAAGCTATCACCGCGGACGGCCGTGTCCTTACCCTGGCATTATCTTTAGGGCAAAGAACTTCAGAAACAGTGGTTCTTGACGGAATTCGGCAAAATAGCCGACTGGCATTACATAACGTCGCCCAACGGATGGACGGACAACCATATCGCTATTGAGTGGCTTGAGAGGTCTATTTGCCCCAGACGCGACCAGCCGATGCCTCAGATGCTAGACTGATCATATTAGATGGACATGGAAGTCATGCAACGGTGCGTTTCTTTATCCACCTCTGTAGGAATTACCGTTAACCGGGACCAGGATGCATGGATGGCCACATGCTTTTGAACAACGTTTATTGCTGTTACCTTCCTGCCCACTGCTCTCATGGCCTCCAGCCGTTAGATAACGGTGTATTCAATGCCTCAAGGCAGCTTACCGGAAAGAACTTCAGAAATTGACCTGTTTGACCGATTCTGCGCCTGTTCATAAGGTCAATTTTATACGGGCATATGCTAAAGCGCGCGAGGTTGGAATGACGGCAAAGA